AGGCATAGGCCTAGATATGGGATGCGGGCACGTATGTTCCGGTTCTATCATATGTAGTGAGACTATCACGAGTGACAGAAAACAGAAAACAAGGGTTGACGTATTTCTGGAACATAAATATTTTATTTGAGCACAAATGTTTCGGTCGTCCCTGCAACCGCCTTCAGTGTGTACTGAACATACATAGTGCAAGCAGGAACGGTTTGGTTTTCCAACCTCGAAGTCGGGTACGGTATTCAATCCCTTGTCCAGGCACTTTATCTGCATTGCTTCTCGCCACTCAAGACTCTGAGTATAAATGGGTTCCTGGTGAAGTTGCTTGCTCCTGCGCTGATTACAGCAGAAACTTAAACTTGTGGAAGTTCTCATTGTTGATTTTTTTTTACTATCAATTTTCTGTTCCTTTCTTGGATCATCACTCCACGAGAATAAGATATACAAAGCGTATAGCCAAAACCACAAAAGCCACAGGGAAACCAATCGCTGACCATGTTAGGCCCTGAATATGAATAATTAACGATGTACAATTTAATCCAATCAAAATTGAATACATGTTTATATATATTATATATATATAATATATATATATCACAACTAATGATTTTGCTTCTCGATTGTTATATTTCTAAAAAGACTTTTACTTATTCCTTTACAAATCATCATTATGTACAATAGATTTTAACACAATATGACCGATAGAAGGGACACAGGTTTAATGATAGCTATCCCCAGATCAGTAGAACTGCTTACAGTGGGTTATATACTATAGACTTATTGCTTTGATAAAAGATATACAGGACAGTCATACAGATTGATATAGAGTAGCTCCCATCATTTCTTTCACTTGTAATTATTGCTATCTCTACAGGCGATATTTTAAAAGAATGCTAATATCCGTTTTGTATATCCATCCACCACAACGCCAGTGGCCGTGTATTTATGGCGGATATTAATTGTATATACAGATTTAGTATTACAAATGTAATGATTTAAAATCTCTGTTGCTTTTAAATTACAGACACTTGTCCTCCATGGCGTAATGAATAATTTGAACGATATGATGGAGAAAGTTGTACATTCAAGTTTGATTGGATTAAATTGTACATCATTTATTATTCATATTCAGGGTCTAGTATGAAGACCAGCGATTGGTTTCCCTGTGGTTTTCGCTATACGCTTTATGTATTTTATTCCCGTAGAGTGTATGATCCAAGAATGGAACCAAAAACTGATAGTAAAACAATCAACAATGAGAACTGTATTTCCATCCACGTTTTAGAAATACAACTATTTATGTTCCGATATCTACAGTTCTACTATTAGACCTATGCCCAATAGGGGCCTATGAGAGAAGTTTACTCTTAACTAAGAATGCATTGCAAATTTAGAATTCCGGCGCCTAATTTTCGGGGGAAAACAAACTGCTTGCGCCACTGTAATGAAGATGTACGTGGTAGAGTCATATCTACTAATAAAATGCTCGCTTTTCCTTTAGGTTCACTTTAATTTTGCCTTGTAATCGTGTCCTGAAAATTGCTAAAAGACGGATCGCTTTTCAGAGCTAGCACACTATCGTATGTGTGCCTGCGTTCTTGTTATATGGATCATCGGCCTGCATCAGTCACATATAATAATAATTACCATTCCCCTTTGGAATTTTATAATGATTACGCAGACACTGAAACAAAAAATTGTGTTGAGGTCAAATAGGCCTATCAATTCATTTGTTCTTCCCTTGTGGTTGTAGTTGTGCGTGCGCGAGTCGCGAGCATGAGAGTGTTTTCTATGTACTTACTGAGTACGAAATTAATATAGGACCGCAACAAAAAGCAGTCGAATTCACCTCTCACTTCCTCTCAATCTAATGTATTCTATTTCTAACCATCGTATAAATACTACTACTTTTACAGTACAGTCATTAGACGGTCGGCTTTCTTTACCCACCTTAACTTAGGCATAAAATCATGGAGGATGCGGTGTCATCGTTCTCTGTGTTAATAAATAAACACTGAAATTATAGTTGTGGCTTGTAGGAATACCATCAGTAATGTAATGGAGTTAAGTATAACACTCACTGATTCTCCGAAATGGCGCATTCGTTATTTTTTAAAATTTAAGCCACATTTACACTAGACACGGTTACGACACGACAACATATCATCGCGTAGTTTGTATTCTTCAGCACTGTGCGCATCTGTCGTTGTCGTAATCGTGTCTAGTGTAAATGTGGACCTACAATGTATGCATAATGATCCACCAATGTAACACGAAATTGAATATTCGAATAATTCAAAATCTAATGTTTCTCCATAAACCCGGGGACCAATTTTTGGTCAACTAGTCAATAAAAACATAAACAAGCTGCTTTCGGCAGCATTACTGCACATAATTATTCTCATACATGTTATGTGTATTCCGTCAAAACCTAACGCATACGCTCGTACACGTCGACAAAGACGTGCGTCTGTAACGCATACGCTCATCTATATACACGTAGCAGGCCGATACAGTACGTGTTTTGTCAGCAAGAGCAACTTTGAAAGAAGCCTTGATGATTGATTGTGTAGGCTTTATAACGCACATTGCAGCACAGCATTCTGTAATTAGACAAATAAGACGAGTTATGACAAAAGTCCCGGCGGAGGCATCACCTTTTACTTGCTTTTTTTTATCGAAATCATATCTGTTTTTTTTTTTTTTTTTTTTTTTTTTTAAGCATTTAATCGCAATGGTTACAAAGTGCACGTAGTGATCTTATGACTTAACAACCATAAATAGCTTACTACATGATTTCGCATTCCACTGCACAATGCGAGCTGGCGTACTTCACTCTTTTAATGTTAACATTTCATTGTAGCATTGTTGTATCTCAATATCGTCATCATCATCTTTATATAATGACGATGAAAATGACAATGACGAAACGAAAACGACGACGACCATGACAATGATGATGACGATATGATCTGATGATATTGACAACTAGCCCTATCATGATTGCGACTACGATGATGATAATAATGATGGTGGTCATATAATTGATCATAATTATGTTTGTGTTGATAATATGATAATGCAACGACGACGACGTGGATGATAATTAGAAGGTGGATAAATGCGACGATGGTGACGATTATATTGATGATCGCTACGATGATAAATGTTGTCAAATTTCGGGAATGTTAAAGATTTTTTAACTGAATTAGACATATGTTTCGCTCCAATAAATCATTTTCTTTTTCACATTTGTTTTTTATTAGTTATTCCAACCGATGACACCGATACATATGTGGAAGATTCCCGGCCTACCTGACGACGTGGAACTGTACATCAAACGTGACGACATGACGGGAGCGGCACTGACCGGTAACAAGGTTAGGCGTAATGGTACCTCATATAAATCGCTGTTGTTTCAGTGAAAAGACCCTACCTTATGCAACCTCATTATAATGATGTACTCAAGTAATAAAATACCGTAAAACCAAAGCCCCTTGTGCTTAATCTCGAAAAGAAGCCCGTTTCCGAAATGTAGCCTCCTCCTAGTTTGCAAAAGTTATCATAAAAAAGGCCCACCTCGAAAAGGTAGTATGGGCTTCTTAATTTCGAAATAGTACAGTACATTACATTGTTCATGAATTTCAAAGAAACAGGAATTAAAAAATTAGAAACACTGTTTACAGTAGTGTATGTTTATACACTTCATGATATAGACTGATGTTCTCCCTGATGTTGCGTTAACTAACAAATGCTGTACTCTAATTCCAAATTTCCAAAATTTATGGCATTTATTTTGAAAAGAAACCCGCCTCTTTTTTCAAATTTAGTCCCGAAAAGAAGCCCATCTCAAAAAGAGGCCTATCTCAAAAAAAAAAAAAAAAGAAGCCCAGGGCTAGTATTCAAAGTTTTACGATAACACAAGTTGGACACACTTGACTCGTGCGGTTTTATAACGTCATTTTCGCGTTGATTCGCACTTAACAGTTTTCACATTTGCCAGAGGCAACACTGCTTAAATGCCCATTTAATTTAATATGACGAATAACCAGTATGAAATGTATCCTATAATATTAAGATGGATAGCTTGATCTACATCTCAGTCTTCTGAAAACAGAATTTGTAATTTGTGACTACTCGAGGTCAGCTTAATCAAAATCAATTCTATATAAGATAATTGTTTGTGATTATTTCAGTTGAATTTACACATATTTACCATTAAGCGCTCGATACAGCAGTTTGACTACAGTATAGTAAGAATAGGTAAAGGTAGGCCTATATCTCAACTTAAACTCAGCTTAAACTTTTGATTGATTTAAAGTACATCAGAATATCTTTTTTTTCAAATCAACATTAAAAATATACAGTATCTATTGAAACACAAAAGCTTCAATCATTCATTTACCTTTCACTCCTTCCTTCCTTCCTTCCTACCTATCTTCCACCATCCCTCCCTCCTCTTCCTTCATCATACATTCATCCTTTTTATTCATTTAATCATTCTTCATTTAGCCATCCTTTCATCCATTCTTTATGACACTCCCTCCCTCTCTTTCCTCCTTTCTCCTTCCCTTCCTCACCAACCCCACCCATTCATTCATTCATTCGTTGATTTAGTCTTTCATTAAATTAATTAATTCATTAATTAATTTACTCATTAATTTATTCATTCATTCATTCATCCATTTAATTTTGTAACCTAATTTTTCATTTTGTTGAAGTATATTCATTATATGCTAATATAAAACATGATTTAGGTCTATACAATGTCCTTATTTCACTATAACGTCATCAAATTGATATAGAGCACAGTTTAAATATCAATATTTCTAAATTCATAATCAAACACTTAGCATGCCCTTTCAAGTAGCGAAACTCAAGTAACAATCTATTATATATTAGTATCTATTACAGGTAAGCAGTTTAGCAATTCTAAAGCTATTTGTAACCTTTTCAAATCGTTTGATTCTCTACCAAGATAACTGGATCGCAGTATCCTGTACCCCTATAGGACCGATAAACAACACTAATGCTTACGTCATAGCAAATTGATTTATACAGCGATATTTCAGCACAAAATGTTGACGAAATAAAGTAGTTATTGATTGTTTGTAGTTTTAGATACCATGTGCAGGATTCCATTTGCAAATCTTGTTGAAAACATGACAGTTTGATTCCCAGTTACAATTATTATCCAGAATTATTTCACTATTCATATTTAAAATTTAAATGTAAAGAATAACTATTTCTATAGGCCTGCTATGTAGTGTTTCATCATGAAGAAAAATATTAAATTTGTAATTTACATTAAACTTTGGGGTTGACCTGCTTCAATTTGGCGATAAACTGTATATGAGAAAGTATTCTGAGAACTAGGGTGGTTACGGTATATTACGTAAAACTAGTTTTGTTAAGTGCTTAAATATAAAAACTTGTGGTCATAGCACTATCTTTAAAAAAAAAATTGTATGAAAAAAGTGTCTATGGAGGGTCTTGTGCTATGTATATGCATCCTCTCGATATAAAGACGTGCTTCATACCGCTAGACTGACAGAGAACCATACGAGATTGGTGAGATCTAACCCCTAGATATCTATTTCGTCTGTCAACTGGCACACGAACTGCATGGATGGTTATGTCCGAATATCTTGCAGTTCACATCTTAATGTCTCAAAGAATACGCATTATCAAAGCATTAATATTACAAATATCTTTATATTATTTCCAGCCAATTTAAGTGTTTATGCAAAACAATATAAACGGTATTAGGAAATGCATTTATTATTTGACGAGAAACATAAATTTTCAATCTAACTTTCCATTACAACTTACTTAGAGTAGAGTGGGTTTTATATTTGATTTTTTTTTTTTTTTTTTTTTTTTTTGAAATTACAGAAGAATTTCGGTAGGCCTACCCTAGTAAATATCTGTACAATGAACGGACATTTCCGGAATATCAATCAAATTGTACAACTGACCAATCAGAACAGGTTAAGGATTACGCGCTTGTGCCACACCCCCCCCCCCCGCACGTACCTCAAAACACTCTCATTGATAAACACACATGTCGTCCTACCCAAACGCACGTGTCTGCGTAAGGTTATAATCCAGAAATTTTCTAACGGGGGGGGGGGCAATAAGTAGTTAACACCTAAAATTGTAAGAATAAGCCCCTCTAGATGCTCGGAAATGCCACTCTCTGATGGTTAATGCTTTTTGAAAGCAGTGTTCCGCAAAAAATGATTGACTTCAAGGACACAATATGCTGTTGTGTATCAAAAAAACTCTTTTGGATAATGGTGCTATGGGGCGAGGACACTATGGGTAGGGGAACCGAAAGGGCCCCCAAGTGTCAGTGGTCCTGCGGACCACCGTACGAGAGTGCGCATAGCGTGCCTTTAACGGAAGGTTGGTAACGACAATGAGCAAAGAGGGCTGGCTTTGAAGATTAGTGCCAGAGCGTGGCGCCTTCCGTGTGCCTGGGTTAAAGCCATAGATATAAAGAGTTGCGAAATTGAGAATTTAGAAGCTATTCTATGTCCAACGCGATGCGCGTTCCTGTGTTTTAAATTAACTTTAAAACAAAGTTTAAATTAACTTTAAATTAAAGTTTTTTTTTAGTTTTTTTTTTGTTTTTTGTTTTTTTTCATAGGCTATGGTGCAATCCACTGCCGATCTCAGAAATTAACTCCTTTTTAATCTCAACAATTTTATAACAAAACACAAGTCACTCTACATTTGTAATATTATCCATTTTACTATTTTTAAGCAGTTTGATATTAAGTGTATAATGATTTACTCTTTTTAGCCGTTGAATTTCATGTATCTAGATTTATATGTAGATTTTTTTTAATATAATGATTTTAGTACTTTATAATTAATTCAAAATTTTATTTAATAATGTACTCCTTTTTAAGCAGTTGTTGGTTGCCGGGCAATGAGAGACCAATACATATATATGGCTCTGGTCTGGGTCTGTAAATTATAATGACTTCCAGTTAAATTATGTTTATAGGTGACATCTTTGAAGTACCGTCGAAAAAAAGGACATACGGTTCTACAATCTGACGAATGTACTAGAACATCTTTATCATAGCTACACGTCTATGACGTTAGAAGTCACCTTAACCTAGAACTATCATTTTTCAGAAATGATTAACACTATGATATCGATTTTAGTTTGAATTGTTAATAGTATTTTGTTTAAATACGTGTATAATGTAAAACGTATTAATATTTTTTTTTCTATGTAAAATAATATGATAACTGTTTTCGTGCTCAATATCAAATTTTTTGATCTAGTAGTGAAATACAAATATTCAAAAATTATAATGTAAAAGCATGTATCTTTTACAATTGCAATAATATCACTATTACAACAGTTTCAACTTATCGTTTAATGGAGATCCGAAATACTTATGTCTGATGATATTACTGATTTCTAGTTAGCAATATGCACCATCCATCGAATAAATAAGTAGAATACAATGATTCGCTGCCTGTACACCATCTTCTGTGATATTTCATGCTGTCATCACAACATATCTGTTCGCCAGGAAGGAAAAAAGACATAACTTATAGATTTAAAACTATGGACGACGCTACGGCGGTACAGCAACCATTTTAACTACCAATTTTACAGTCTCTATTCCTTCGAGGGCTAACTACATTACGCCTACACACAATCTAAAAATTGAATCAGCATACACTGGATACAAGAACTTTTGTTTTTGTGTTTTTTTTTTCATTTTGTTTCAAATAAAGATTTTTTACAACACCATTCGTAATGAACCTTTCCGGAAATATAATCCCCGCTCCTTGGATATTGTTGTTAGGTCCCACGAAACGATGTAAATACACATAAATTATATGCACATAATTAAAGCGCACATAAATAAAGCGCACATTCTTGGCTGGTTCTGATTGGTCAGTTAAGTTTGATTGACACGCATGGAAAGGTCTGTATAGCACAAGGTGATTTAATCATTTACCGTTTTTTCATTTTCTTGTATTTTTATCCGTTTAAGCAAAAATTAGGTCTAAAACCAATCATAGAACTGGAACAGCTTTGTAACCAGGTGGTTATTGTCAATCAGTTTACATTTTACGAAGTCGGTTATGATAACAAAAGACCCCCCCCCCCAGCACCCTCCCTCGCCAGAACTATTGACAATATAAAAAAAACCCCGGATTTCAACTGAGTGTAAGAATATAATGATCATTTTAATCGAATTTTAATCAAAATATCATAGGTTAGGAAATTGGAGTTTCTATTGGCAGAAGCTTTGGCATCGAAATGTAATGCAGTGATTACATGTGGGGCTGTCCTATCAAATCATTGCAGAACAACGGCAGTGGCCGCTGGGATACTTGGGTTGGAGGCTCATCTTCTGCTGCGATCCAAAATCAAGGTGAGATTATAGTTTGTTTAAAGTATATATATATAGGCCTATATCTGTCTCTTATACACATCTAGATGTACTATTAAAAATTATCGATATAATTATTGAAGAGATAAGGCTTTTCCTTGTTCTCAGACATAACTGCGTTTCTGACCGAATATCAAAATCCATAAATCACGCAGCGGCGGGTCCAGGGCGCACAGGACCCCCGTCGGGGAACCCTGTAATTATTTTTTATCGAGGAAAATACCCTTAAAAGTCATTTTTACATTAAACTCTGATATTTTTTAAACAACGTGTAGCTGAGTTATTGTTGACCCCTTTCAGAAAACTGGACGCTCATAACAAAAAAGAAAACAAAAACAAAAACAAAAAAACAATAGCTATTAAATTCCTCTCGTTAAATACAATTGTTTTAAGTGATGTAGTACAAATTCTTATTCGTATTCACCGTTAATCTATAAACAACCTCTAGCAACAATTACCAACGTCATTTTGCATTTCAATTGATGTAATAAATCATAAAATTTTAAAATTTATAATTTTTAATCAATACACATAAAAAGATCGTAACAAGTGCATTGGCTCAATATTTAAACAGCAAACAAAACTCTACAGCTATTTAATTCATATCGTAATATCTGATGTGTACACATTCTTATTCATGGTAACCATTAATCTAGACAACCTTTAGCAATTAACATCATCATTTGCATTTCAATTGATGTAATAAATCATAACATTTTGACATTCAACATTTGATTGTTTGAGTAGCATGAGTGTGTTTATAAAGATGCTATTCAACACTGGCGTAGCTGTGGAGGATGGGATCGAGAAGGCCTGCACACGTGAAGGCTGATACGTTGAGACACGATACACGCGGTCATAGCTGCAATACAAAATAAGAAACGTGCTTCTATCGGTGTAAATAGGGTGACGCGAGGTATCGATCCTACCAGCGTGTGGTAACGTGGTGACACGTTCTTAAAAAAGTGTAACAATAATAAATAAATAGGCCTAATGTCAGAAATGCAAATTCAAATTAATGAAAATAATAATTAAAAGTCAATCGTGACGTCACCATTTTACATTCCCCGTAATTCCCATACATCAATTATTTCGACCATCTCAATAAATACAAGCATAGAGCCTAAATATACAGAAACTCATAAACGCCTCAGCAGTACGGTAGTCTCTGGTTTTCCTATTTTGTACTACTACTACTACTACTACTTTTTGGCTCACGTGCAAGCCAAAAGCCAAAACAAATAATAACTAGAGCAGTCACTCCATAGAGTGCATACCTCTGCTCTGTTCCTAAATACACTACCAACAATTAGGCCTACGCAGACCGTGATAATGGGCATACTGCATACCCTCAAGAAAATAATAGAATCATCCGTCGTATTCGGTCACATCGTTTTCTTGACCGTTGCCTGAGGTCGCACGAGGGGCAATTAATGCTAGAGGCTATAACATCGAATTCCCGTGATTACCTTGTCCTTTGACCCTTTCTTTCGAAAATTGAAAGGGGTCTTTCTTCAATTATTATGTACCATTCCACTAAATTATATGATGATCAATTCATTAGTTTTTGCTTAATCTCGTTAACAGACAGACAGACAGACAGACACCAGTGAAAACATAACCTCCTTGGCGGAGGTAATGAAGATGATATTCCTGATCTTGATAATAATAATGATATTAATTAATATAATAGGGCCTATTAGTAAATGTAAGAACAATGCACATTTCATTGAATTGGTCTAAATATACGCTAGATGCTAAAAAAGAAAGGTGGGTTATGCTTATTCTTTAATTATAGAATCCTGAAGATATAGTACCTCGAGGAAACGTGTTACTGAACAGACTGGTCGGAGCCCAGCAATATCTCATCCCCAACGAAGCTAATCTTGACACCGAGATCGTCCCGAGAATGCAGATATTAGCCAAGCAGCTAAGGTACGATCTAAGCCTAAGACATTTGCATCCATTCTGTGCCTATGAAACAAATTATTCAGAATGTGTATCATGAATACTGACAACAATTTTTATTTTTCAAGATCTGTGCTGTTAGTAAAATATCAAAGTACATGTAAGCATCCGCGTACAATGCCGCACATAATGTTATATTATGCATGTCGACCTTCAGTGTATTATCGAAAGACAGCTTAGAGTATATTTATACACATCATGACTAATGTATATACATATATATACAACATCTAGATGTGTATAAGAGACAGGTTTTCTTGACCGTTGCCTGAGGTCGCACGAGGGGCAATTAATGCTAGAGGCTATAACATCGAATTCCCTACATATATACACACACATTTTATGTAAGTCTATATAAACAAATAGATAAATAATAATAGTGCTCAAATTGGAACATGATGTTATAATCCTATCAAGCATAGCTTTTCCATGAAAGGTTTCTTCGTTAATGTACTTATATAAATGTAGAACGTTAAAGAAGAGAAATCCGGGAGGGTGAAAAAAAAGTTGCCCCAACCGGGATCCGAACCTGTCTATGAAAATGCTTTAAGCAACTAGCTGGGTCATTGAGGCTTTGTTGGGAATTCAAATCCGATTAAAAACAACTAATTACTCACATTCTTGCGCATGCGTTGTTGGACAGCACTAGTTGTTGATGCATCTCAGATCAATACGATACGCCCTCTTCTTAAGCATTTGTATATATATATATATATATATATATATATATATAGGCATATATATAATATATATATATACGCAGTAAACGAAAATAAAACGATTGCATACGTTGACATAATAGACATGAAATATATATATAGCCTATATATTTGTATATATATATATATATATATATATAAAAGAAGATTATACAGATCATACAGTCTTTTTCCGCATCGCTATAATTGTTTTCAAACATAATTTGTGATTTAATATACCCTGTAGGAGGGCTATGAACACCTACATATAATTAAATAGCTACTAACTTCAAATTATATTAATAATTATTATTTAAATTCACCTATTAGGCCTATGCGTTGATATTTTATTATGTATCATTTATTATTTATGATACTGTACATTTACATAAGTATAATTTTAAATTCATTGTCTCATTGGGTTAGATGTAATGTTATGTGCATTACATTTTCTCGAATCATTTGGGAAATTAACCACTGTGTTCATACGACATTGACCATATTATCATAAATATAGTAACGTCTGTTTGCTTTGCCCATAAGCAGTTTTCATATTATTGTATATGTTTACCTTGCAAATTTACGTACAAGACGTGTTATCATGAATGATTCTAGATACAGATACAAATGAACGCGATGTTTTCACGAATGGTAAGCATCACGATACATATCTTCACGCAGGCAAACCGAACTCATTCAAAATTCTATGGATATCTCAGTACAAAGATGATAATTTTATAACATCATAAATAATATGATTGTACCCTGGCGATACATAATGCATTACTCTTTATTAGATCGAGACAAAAATTAAAGATTTACTGCATCTGTGTAGATTTGTTTACTAGTATACATTATATTAGAGACCTTTTCCGTAGAGTGTAATATGTTGCAAATTCCTTCGCCACCGTTACGAGAGTTATTTTGTATAATAATGGTAGATGTGGCGTTATGTACGTTCAGATGGTAATCAAAATTGCTAGTTTATGCACGCACGTAATGCTCCGCGGACAGAAAAGAGACCTACGTGATTCGTTACGATATCACGACATCTCCATCGTTCACTATCCGTGTTCTACACTTTGCTTATAATTACATTATGTCATAGAAAAATCTGAATTTATATACATGCAATATGAGATTTTCTGTGAGAAGTATTCTGGGAACACAAACAAATTGAATTTAGAATGTAACATTTAAGTGGAGGGAAGACGATGTATATTTTTGGGAAAGAATTTTTCAAAATTCAAACTGAGTGACCACGTGCAGTTTTTCATCCTTTATGTGCCCTTGATTTGGAATTAGTACACTATGTATATATGGTTATTTAAAATAGTGTGTTTTACCAAGTCTCAGATAGTGTTCAGCTAAACGTGTAACTGTGAATTTCTATCGTACTGCTATGTTTTACAATGTACTTTAAGAATAAAACTAAAAAAAATCTTGTTTAATTTATGATATATACAAATACTAAATCAAACTTTTTATATTATCTCCTAGTCATATATTTCAGTCAAATGATTCAGTAAACAGCCAATCTCCTCGAGGGCGGGCGTGCATCAACAACTAGGATTTTCATTTCAAATACTTCTTCCTTTCTCTTAGCCACAATTCCACCGGTTCATCGATTCCTAGAAGTATCCATTCAGTTCATACTCGCTCCAACAACAACCAACCTAACATAGCTCAGACGAGAAGGACGAGTTTTAATTTCTAATTTTGATTTGGTGGCGGGAACTGATGATGAGGAAGGGAATGAAGTCAGAGATGACAGTGATACACAAGGCTTAGATTACCACTGTTCTTTTGCTGGCTGCCTGCTCGTCTTCCCATTATTGCAGGGTCATTGAGTTGGAGAAAACTTAAGTATTGTCACCAAACAACTACAACAATGTTAATATCAATATTGAAATGGTTTTTTTGCAAACGATAGCGTAACAGTGTAACAGTGGCTGTTTCAACGTGCTTTTAAAACAGTGTAATGATATACCGACCTATATCCATGATATGCTAATAGAACACCACGTTGTACTAGATTTTGTTGTTTGAGATTTACATCAATGACAATGGAATGACAAATGGCGATGATGGTGTGTTTAAAAGGTGTTACAGAAATCATCTCATTTACATTTATTTATATAATTCTTAGTGAACACCAAATTATATAAAATCCACTATTTTGTAGCTAATGCATAAATTAAATTATTCTTATAAAAAAGAATTGTGTTGAACACATAAGGTTTAATATGAAGAAGATACTCGATATCCGTAAATAATTTTGAGAGCTTTTGGGCAACTTTGCCTAATAGGCCTGAGTTGGGAAGTTCGCGGTTGTCACGCTGTTATCCCAATTTGTCATTCCATGACAAATTATAAATTTAACTCTAATATGTATATTGAATATAATTGTTATAAAATGCGTTGATGTTGATTCATAATGACACGAAAGTTTACGTGTCCATTTTTTCTTTATTTTCATAGTGATATCCGTAACATTAAGTCATATTTGATCCCTGTGGGAAAGCCAAGCACAACAGCAGTCCAAGGATATTTATGGGCATGGCAAGAACTTCTTGATCAAGTGAGACTACAATTCTACGACACTGATACGTGCACAGTGGAAAATAATACGCATTCCCGCCCACCGTTGTGCGTGACTGCGTGACTCGTAGTGGTGCGTGCACCTACGACTCACTTCGTGCACTGACGACGTCACTTTGACAATTTTTTTAAATATAAAAATGAAGAAATAATGTAGGCCCTGTTATTAGATTGACTGGGTTTATATGCACGTATGTAAGATACGTCAAGTGCTAATATATTTTTAAAATGTAAGATGGTAAATGGGATTCATAAACTAAAGACCACTTTTTGACAGAGCGTCGCCTAATGTCGTAATGTCGTATCATGTATGTTAATAAGGAGATTTCGCAAGCTTACGAAAACGATAACGATTACGGTTACGTCATCAAAGTTTTAGACAACCCTTACCCTACAGCAGCATATTTGTCACAACGTCGGCGATTCATGCCTTTTGCATGAACCAACCAAGTATCATATTCAGTTCGTTGAGCATATTGTGAAGATTGTTTTAGGCACGAATGACGATAATGATAATGACGTATTCGTTATCGTTTTCATAGGTTGCGAAATCTCCCCATTTTGTATTCATCGGATATACTTACATTGTACGTAAATACATCAATGTTTTAAGATTGTGCAAATGTGATGAATCTTACTTATATCTTATCTGGTCTAGTAAATTGATATATTTTAAAAGATTGTCCGACTACAATATCCGAAATCATACGTTTAAGAATTTATTTAATGGACATAGAAATTAATCTAGTTTAAATTGATATACTGGAATGTTATCGAATGTGATGGTGAATGTGTGGCCATCTTTCATACAAATTGAAATGACAATGGATATATTCAGTATATTTACCGATGTGTTTTACTGAGCTACGGTACATATCTGTTTGCAAGTTCGGCACACATCATGTCAGTGTCTGACGAACACAAATAAATTGAGCATATCGTCTGCATGAAAGTAATAACGGCACAGCAAAATAACTAGAATCATTTTCGACATGCAATGTAAATAATGCGCAGTAAACTAACGAGGCTTTATTTAAAATATATTACGATTAAAGCGCGAAGACCTGTTCATAACGCAGACCTAGAATCTTACATTATCGTCAGCATTAGACCTAGATTTCAAGCGAAGTTTGGATTTACATTGAATTGTGTATCAACTTCAGGATTACTGATCTGAATTGCCATAATACTCATTATTCAATTTATAGGTTTCAAAATCGGTTGGATTCAGCGTATTATGACGTCATGTCAATAATTACGAAATAAAAAACTCGTCTACTCTTTTGGGTTGTGTTTAACCTTTTATCAATGTACCTCTCAATTGAACATTGAGAATAATAGTAATATAGAGTAGGCCTATCTAATCTAAAATTCTCTTGAATAAAAAAATGTCATTGCTTCACGTCAGTTGTATTTTAAGACTAAAAAACGCTGCATTAGGCACAGATCAATAAGGCAATCACATATCGGTGACAATAATTAGCTTTTATATTATTGCGTATCAAATTGTTGTCTGATCGTGTTAGTTTTTTCATATTTTAAGAATCACACAAGCAATTTGTAGAACAATTGCAGATTCTTAAGATACTAATTGTTGATAATCATCGTATTACCTAAAGAAAATACTGATATTAGATCAAAAACACAATAATATTAGTGTATGAGCAATATATTGTTTTAATGGGACATTTTTTTACTTAAAGGGTATCCAAGAAAGATTTGATGACGTCATTGTGACAATTGCTACTGGTGAAAATGCAGCGGGCCTTGCCATCGGAAATTATCTTACAGGATCAAAATTAAAGTGAGTAGGACTACTCCTGGTATGCTAGGCATTAATTAAGTCTGATCCACGATCTGGTCATTTTATTTTGAACTCAGTCCCGCAGTACAAATGTAGGCAATTCAACCAAGCATATTCTTATATATAAGATCTAGGCCTATGTCTAAAGAAGGTAAGTAGTAAAATATAATGAGAAAAAGAAAATAAATAAGGAATAGAATGAATGAATGAAATGACAGAACTTTGAAGAAATAACGAGAAAATTGGATTAAAAACTCACACTGACCGGAAGGAAACAAAAAAGAAACGACTGGTTAGTATAGGCCCTATATATCTAAGAAATGGACGACAACAAGGTTTTTTTAATGGTCTAATTAGCAGTAATATTTATAAGATAGTGACTAATTTCTGTCTATTAAGATGACTATACACAATCTAATATAATAATCATTAGAAGTAATATGTCAACTAGATTGCCTAGTCAATGGCTGCCATTAACTGATCTATATTTATTGGAAAATGTATTATATTATCCCATTGGTCTTACCAATCTGAGCTGAGTATTCAATTAAAATCACTTTTTAGCATTGACACCGTAGCATCAATTATTATTTTCTTGACCAGTTTTTTTTTTTTTTTTTTTTTTTT